ATCAATACATGTCTTACATGTATGTCAAGCGATGAGGAAATCAAAAAGGCTGTCTTCGATATTAGACCAGATAAAGCACCGGGACCCGATGGGATGTCAAGCCTTTTCTATCAGAAATTCTGGCCAGTGATTGGAAAAGATATCTCTAAAGCTGTGTTAGATTTCTTTGAGAATGGTATTTTCGACCCAAGGATAAATCAAACAAACATTTGTCTAATCCCGAAGACGGAAAGGTCAGTGGAGATGCTAGAGTTCTGTCCGATAAGTATATGCAACGTCTGCTATAAGATTATCTCAAAGATCCTAAGTAAAAGACTAAGATGTTTCCTCCCGAAACTGATTTCGGAAACCCAATCAGCCTTTATGGCTAGACGTCTGATTATAGACAATATCCTTGTTGCCCAAGAGATATTTCATGCGCTCAGAACGAACCCCATATGCAAAACAACATTTGTTGCTATCAAGACTGATATGAGTAAGGCATGTGACAGAGTTGAATGGGGATTCTTAGAGGCACTCATGACAAAGTTGGAGTTTAATAAAAAGTGGGTTGGATGGATAAAGTGGTGCATATCCTCTGTATCGTACCAAGTCCTGCTAAATGGCGAAGCAAGAGGGAACATAATACCATCAAGAGGGCTACGTCAAGGCGATCCGCTCTCACTTTTCCTTTTTATTATCCTCACATAAGCTCTAATCGGCCAGATCAAAGGCGCAGAAGCAGAAGGCCGTTTAACTGGTATTAAAGTAGCTCAATCAAGCCCGGCGGTATCTCATCTCCTTTTTGCAGATGATAGTTTGTTTTTCTGTAAAGCAAATATCCTGCAATGTGCATAGTTAATGAAAAATATTAATAATTATGGGAAAGCATCAGGACAACAGTTGAATGCGTCAAAATCTTCAGTACTCTTTGGGAGTAAAGTGCCAACAAAAATGAAGACAGAACTGAAGAGAACCCTAGGCATACATACAGAAGGAGGTATGGGAATGTATCTGGGCCTCCTAGAGAAGATATGTGGTTCCAAAAAGAAGGTTTTTATATTCAGGATAGATTGAACTCTCGGATTAACTCTTGGTCAGCTAATCTTATGCCGAAGGGAGGAAATGAGATTCTCATCAAATCAGTAGCTCAAGCGATTTCTACTTATGTGATGTCATGCTTTCTTCTACCTTATGAAATCATAAGTAAATTACAGAGTGCTATAGGCAAGTTTTAGTGGAGCTCAAAGCAAGATAAAAGATGTATGCACTGGATCGCTTGGGATAAATTGTGCCTGCCCCAAGACAAGGGTGGACTAGGCTTCTGAGACCTCAAAAACTTCAACCTCGCTCGCTCCTAGTGTGAATCCTGAGAAACTTCAACCTCGCACTACTGGCAAAACAACTTTGGAGGATAATAAAAAATCCAGCCTCGCTCCAAGTGCGAATCCTGAGAAGTAGATATTTCTGATACTCCACCCCCATGGAAGTATCGAAATATAACTCCCCAATCTTTTAGGTGGAGCAATATGATGGCGGCTCGAGATCTTCTAGCAGTTAGTCTCATAAAGTCTATGGGCTCTAGTCTATAGGCTCTGGTTTTAATACCAAGGTATGAAGTGATAATTGGATCCCAGTTATACCAGCCAGACTAGCTCTTGATAATGGATGTTACAGAGACCCACACATGTTTGTTAGTCATTTAATTGACATAAACACAAAACAGTTGAGAATTGATATCATTCAAAATCTTATTAGTCCGGAAGATATTCCGCGGATCATGAGCCTGCGATCGAGCAAGGGATTCAAAGAAGATGGGTTATGTTGGGTACATACCAAATCAGGAGCATATTCTGTAAGAACGGGCTACAAACTAGCGTGCGAGTTGCAGTTAGCACAGACCCCGCAAACTATGACTGAACCTAGTACCAACCAGCTAAAGAAAAATGTTTGGGATTTGAAAGCACCTAGGAAAATAAAGCACTTTATATGACAAACTTTATCGGGATGCATTACAACAAGTGGTCGCTTGGTGGATCGATATTGTAGGACAAATCGTAGTTGTATCCGTTGTGGAGCAGAAAATTAACGATCAATCACCTCATCTTTGAATGCCCACCAGAAATCCAGACATGGGCGCTATCACAAATCTCGAAAATTCCGGGCTCCTTCCCGTGCGAGTCTTTGAACTCAAATGTTGACTTCCTTCTACAAAGGACAAAAGCTAATGGTGTCACAAAGGAAAGCTTTCAAACTTTTCCATGGCTGAAATGGTACATCTGAAAAGCTTGCAATGAGAAAGTGTTTAAAGATAAAGACACCTCTGGAGTGGATACCATGCAATTAGCCACTCGGGAGGCGGGAGTCTGGAAAGTCTCCCAGATAATTGAGGACGAAGTGGAAAAAGAAGCGGGAACAAGTAGCCCGATTATTCCCGAGCATATGCTGTCGTACGCACCATGATGCCAGACAGACGCTTCATGGACTCAAGATGGCACTCTATTCGGAGGCGGAATCATTGTAGAGGAGGAGGATGGGAGTAAGCGATATGGAATGTTTGCAAAAACTACAGTACTATCCCTCCTTCATGCCAAATTCTCTACACTCATAAGGGCGATGCATGCCCTCATTCAAATCGGTACTCTATCTATGCGGTTCGAAACAGATTGTCTACAAGTAGTCAATATGATAGAGAACGAGGAGGAGAGATCATCCCTAACTTCGGAAATGGAGGAATATAGAGTATCCAGCTGTTATTTCATATTTTTCTATTTCTTATATTCCCTGCAATGCTAACATTCGAGTTGATTTCCTTGCGAAAACATCTCGAAACCATGATCTTGTATTCTCTCCCTGGGACACAATGTTTCCGAGATGGTTAACCTCTGGTTAAGCATACTTGAAACGTGACTATAATATAAAATCGTTTGCTGTAAAAAAAAATATATATTATACTAAACAAATTAAATATACCGAGTAATCAATCATATCTCTGCAACAAATATTTCGGTAAAACAAACCATGCATAAACAACCATCAAGGTCTCTTGGATTTTGTTTATCTGATAAATTAAATTTTTTGACCTCAAACTTACAAAAAATACAACTATATATAATGTAATAATAAATTCTACAACAACCAAGAACATTTAGAGAAATAAACACTAAATTAAATAAAATATGTAATCAAATCCTACAAATTTATAATTGAAACTAACCTGAGTATAATTGATACAGAAATAATAATAATAATAAATAGAAAAGCAGTCGGTTGTGGCTCAGTGGTAATGGGCTCACAGTTGTGAGTACCGCCATTTGGGTTCGATCCCTAGCCACCCATGTAATCATCTAGCGTTTTTCGAACCTCCAGGATAACGCAGAACCCACTTTACGGTTGGTGTTCTCGCTATTTGGACCCGCCATGATCTGTAATTTGGCGTATGGGTTTGGCGTCCATGCTAGTTGGTGCCTCATCTACTGGTTGGAGTCCAGTCACCTGGATTATCAAATAATAATAATAATAAATAGAACCTGAAAGTTAATAATATTATAAAAACAATAACCGATAATAATATAGAAATAATCATGGAATATCAAACACCAAAAAATAATTTAAACAATTAATCAACTAAAAGCTCTGAAAAAGAAAAAAAACCCGATAAAAATCGAAGCAACCCAAATTATAATTTTTTAGTTAAAAAAGAAATTATGAATCCAGTCAAAAAGTGATTTCAAAAACTTTCCGTTAAAATTGGTTGGCACAATTTTCTCACCAAATATTTGAATCTTTAAATTATGTATCAAAAATTCTACGTTAAAGACGAAATATGATTTCAGAAGCTTTCTTTCAGTCTTCGTGAAGATTTTTGTTTTTTTTTGTTAAAAGATGAATCTGTAAATTTTTTGCCAAAGAAGTAAATGTATAAATTGTCTATTATAAAATTACTTTATATATGTGATTTTAAAAAGTTTTCTGAATTTGATTTTGTGATTTTCTTACCAAAAATTGTAAATTCATCAATTTTATATCCAAAATGTGATATCAACAATATTTTGACAAAATAGAATGCTATAAATTTTTTTGTCAAATATTTGATATTTGTAAATTTCTCGACAAACGTTTTGTATCAAAAAAAAATTCATTTCTCAAATTTTCTGTTAAAAACTTGAATATTTACATTTCAGATCAAAAATTGAACATTAAATTTTATATATAAATTAAATAATATCATATTACTCGCCACATATATTGAAAAATAATATGTTATCATTACATTATTTATTATATATTATTATTTATACATCATCATTTATATGTTATTGGTGTTTCTCTGCACTTTGTGCGGAGTTCGATTAAAATTTTAAAAAATTAATAATATTAATTATTTAAAAATTAAAAAATCAAATTTTATAATTATTTAAAATTAAAATTAATATATTTAAAAAAACACAATTTTCATAATTATTTGAAATCAAAATTAATATATTTAAAAAACACAATTTTTATGAGATATATTGTTTTTTGGCCGCATAAATTAATTTTCATAAGATTTAAGGTTTACTTGTAACCGCATAAATCAATGGGTTAATAGAAAATATTAATAGGTTAAACAATCAAATTTAATTTAATTTCAGAAAATAATTAGGATTGATTTTTTTATGATTTATGCTAGTTACTTTTTTTTAGGAAACTGAATATTTTTATGTTATAAATTCGAATTTGGAAAGTTAGTTTTTTTTTTAAAAACAAAAATTAATTAAAAAATAAATTATATTAATTTGTTAATTTTAATAACGATAAATAAAATATTTTTATATAAGGAATAAAAAGTAATTAACTATTATAACTTTTAACCATAGCTTAATTTGCTTGTCAATTAATAATATAATAATAATATTTAATTTTATTAAATTAAATATATTAATTAAAAAAAATTAAAACAACTCAGCAATTTTCATTAGACTGCGTTTTCAATACTAATATTTAGAGGATTTCATATATATATATATATATATATCCAATTCATCTTTCATCTTGGCGACAATTTTCAAAAATCCCCAAATCTCTAATCAAAATCCCTAATCCAACAATTTTTAGAAATCCCAAATCACATATTTTCGGATTTCTGTGTTAAAGGTTTTGGATGCTGTATCTGACTATACCGATTCCGAGTCGTTATTTTAATTTCAGTATATCACTGCTCACTGCGATTTCTGGATTCCGAGTCGTCTCTTTGATTACAAGCCTTGTTCGACATTTGCTTCAATCTAGGTTAGTTGTCTCTTTGATTACAAGCGTATTCTTTTCTTTGGGTATTTTCGTGTTTGTTTTTTTTCAGAATATTTTGAATTTTGATCTGTTTTGAGTCAAGAAGCAGGTTTGAAATCTGTTTGATTGTTTGAACTTCTTTTGAGTTCTTGATATGACGATTCATGACTGTTTGAAAGATTCATGACCATTTGAATCATGGTGAAATTTGTTTATAAGCTCTGTTAGATTTGGACATTGTACGATTTAGTATTGGTTCTCTTCAGATTCATGTCTATTTGAATCATTGTTGATCGCTGAATAAGATTGAGAACAGATTGTGATTCTTTTTCTATGTGTAAATGGGTCTTTGAGGTCTTGGTTAAATTTACAGAGCGTACGATTATGTGTATTGGTTCTGTGATTCATCACTATTTGGAAAGTTGTATATATACTGAGTTAGATTCATAACAGACTGTGATTCTTTGATTTTGGCTATATCTGTTTAGCTTAATCTCTTGTGTCCTTTTGCTAAGATTCTGTTTTGCTATTTGTATCAGTTGCAATTAATCTACGATAACTCTAGTAATGTTTTGATTTTGACTTGAGATGATGCTTTATCTTTGAATTTGAAGTCTTTAAAGTAATGTAATTACTTGGAGAGCTAACTTGTGTTGCTGCTTACGTGTGTATAGATTGGTATTGATGCGAGATTGTAAAGTTCATGTGTCTGATTTTTTTTTTTTTTTTTTTTGATTTTGTAGAATGGATTCACAGACAATACATGGTTACACTTTCTCTTCTAGACAGCTTTAGCTATCAAGATGGCAAGGGAAGTGATTAGATCAGAAAGTGTATCAATGCCTGATAAGCCCTGCGCCATTCCTGAAAAATCTGGTATGTATTAGCCATTCATGAGAATGTCTTTGATATAGTCGGAACATGTGCTCTGTTTCATTAATTTTTGGTACATATGATATGATAAAAAACCACTTGGGGCAAGGCCGTAAACCACTTGGGTCTATGGCCCGTTGTGAGCTTGTAGGGAACTCCTTTCCGGGATCCTACTCACCACCACGAGTATTTGCATTATTGCAAACACGAACCAAACACAGTGAAAACGTTCTTGAATGTTTAGTGGCTAGGGATTTGATCTCGTTGTAGAATAATGGAGAAAAGATAGTTTTAATTAAAAAAATTTCCCAATGCCTCCAGAGACTTTTGTTGGCAGAGGAGGTGGCGCTGCAAAACAGGGCCCTGACAGGCGTTTCCAGGTAATACAATCTTTGACTTTTAGATATCATCCCTACAGTTTTAAAATATGGTCAATAAGGCAGCATTGTTCTGCCTTCAAGCGGACTCCTGATGGATGCTTGAGAATAGTCAAATACTTTTGGATTTTATTCTCCGGAGAGTTTATCAGAAAGACATGCAAAAGATGGGATGGAAACAAAACATTGGTGAACTCCTTCATGAGCATGCCAATGCAAGAGATTGGTCTCTTTAGCAGCCAAAAGACATTTGTCTTTGGTGGCTCTGACGGTTATCTCTATCTCTTGCCAGAGCAAAAGGACACGGGAACAGCCTCGGAGGGATGGTGCAGCCTCGACAGCTCCTGGTGATTTAAGCTTTGAGAAGAAACGCCAAAAACTGAATTCTAGTGTTCCATCCTCGCGTCCCTGCTTTTCTTCACGACAAACTTCTGAGGCTTCAAACCCACCAAACCGTAAAGGCGCCAAGGCTCTCAAAAGAGTAGCCTCTGGCTCAAACATAACCAAAAATGTTGTCCCAATTGGTCCTGGTTTCCAGGCCGAAATTCCGGTTTGGATTGCCCCTACCAAGAAGGGCAAATTTTATGCTAGTCCCGGAGATTCCGACACTCTTAGATGGCTGGGAACTGGTGTGTGGCCAACATATAGCCTAAAGAAGAAAACTTACTGCAAAAAACTCGGCCAAGGAAGATCCGACTCTTGTTCCTGTGCTTCGCCAAGATCAACCGGTTGCCTACAACAACACATTAGAGAAGAAAGGGAGCTTCTAGAAAAAGAAATTGGCCGTGCTTTCTATACTTGGAAGTTTGATCAAATGGGTGAAGTCGGAGCCAAATCATGGACGGCCAAAGAAGAGCAAAGGTTCGAAGCTCTTGTGAGAAACAACCCTATGTCAAGTAGTAAAGGGTTTTGGGGGATTGCTTCCAAGGCTTTCCCAAGGAAGAGTGAGAAGGATCTCCATAGTTACTACTATAACGTTTTCCTCATCAAACGTATGAGATTGCTTGTTAATAATACTTCTCCTGACGACATGAATAGCGATGATGACCAGTCTCATGACTTCTTTGCGGGATGAAGGCCTTATCGATAGCCGTAGCTTTCTCTGGATTACAAGGTAATTCACTCCTCCGTTCTACTAGTAACTCAAGTTTCTTCCAGGTTCTTGATACCCTAGTGGTTCAAGAACATGTTCCTTTTCCCCCTTGAGCTTTTCTGTCGTAAGATTTTGTTAAAAGAGATCCTTAATAGGGTAAAAACACCAAATCCAAATGTCTTTTTCTTAATTACCTTTTTTCACTCTTCATGAACATGAAACTGGTCTTGAATATTTCGAATTTGGGACCTTTATTTTCTTAGATCTTTTGAGGGTATTAGGAAAGTCCATGATTACCCTTTTTATTCTTCTATAGGCATCAAAGTTCCATCTCAAAGTGCCTTAACCGATCTAATGTGTTCCAAATCAAAATAAGTGATGCAAAAATCCAAGCATGTCTTAATATTGTTTACTATTGATGGTGTTATTCAATCATGAATTTAAAGTTAATTATTTGGGTTTTGTAATCTATTAGATTAGGACCCGCGTATATGTGGGTTTATAATAACAAAATTTTGAATTGGTTAAAATAATTTGAAAAAAAAAATAATCAGATCACTGATAGAAACAAAAATTAAAAACATATAATTAAAATGTAAGAGTTGTTTATTTTTCGTTTGTTTTTAAATAAAATATTCAAAACACAAAGTTTGTTTCCTTAGCAATACTAACCATATTTCATTGTAGTTCAACATTTTATCAACTATTTTTTTTTTGTTTCGCTGCATTAAACACTTGGATATGCAATTCGAGTTATTCGATTATGTTAATTCTCTCTTCATTAACTCTTTCTATGAAAACAAATTTTTTCTTTCTCTTTATAAGCATCTCTCATATATGATTTCTTTGTTTTCTAGAAAAATTGTGTTTTCTTAAGACTCGTGTCAAAAGTTTTTTTACATAATTTTTGTTGATCTTCCTTCTCATTGAACTCATCATTAGCATCTATGATTTCATTTTCATGTAATCCTGTTTGCAAATTTTACATATAATTATTTTAAAATTATCTAATTGTTGAATACTTGAAACATGTTAGATGTATACAATATTCAACAAACGAATCTTGAAGGATAGAAATTTGGAATACTTAACGAATTATAATTGATAAAAATTTGGAATATCGTATAAAGTGTTTCAGTAATAATAATACAATAAAAGAAAGAAAATTGTACCTATACATTGAAACTCAGAAAGTATTATTTTGTATGGTGAAAAATTATAAGAGATTTTATGTGTTTATATAGGCGTGGATTATATTTTTGTTTTTCTTTTAAGATTGATGTTTTGGCTTTTTTCCTTTTCCAAATTGAAATATCTCATTTTATTAACTTCTCTTTTTTTTTTCTTCCAAATTATATTTTTCTTTTTCTTTTAAATTAGTGTTTGAAGGTATTTTCTTTTTCTAAATTGAAATATATCTTTTTATTTATTTTTGTTTTACTTTTAATTTAATTACGAGACATGTCAAAATCTAATCGATTTGATTCGCTACGTGTCGCAATCATTAACATGTCAAAATTTGAATTGGAAAATCAGTCACGTATCGTGATTATGTGAATTACTAATTTTGATGCACCCATTTTATTTAATAAATATTGTTATCCAATCATTGATTTTAAATCATTTTTTAAAATCTGGTTATTGTATTTAAACTATATTCATTAGTTTTTTTTGAAATTTAGTGTTATTAGTTTTTAATCTGGGCATAAAAATCGGATCTGAAAAATCAAATCTATTTGAACTGAACTTAAAGCCTTAAAGGTACTGAACCGAAACTGGTGTAAATATTTGAATGGAATCTTCACTTTTATATCTAAAGAACCCAAACAGAACTAAGAAACGTATGAGTATGAGTATTCGAAATATCTGAAATACAATTGTATTTATATAAATATTAGTTATATTTAGATATAAAATAATCAGATTTTCAAAATCACAATTATAAATCCTATATATTAGATATGTTTAGACTAAAATAACAAAAAGATTCCATGAATGTTTTTAAACTACCAAAGGAGATTTGTGAAGACATAAATAACATATTGGCCCATTTATGGTGGAGTTATGGAGACAATCAGAAAAAGATGCATTGGCTGACATGGAAACGTTTAGGAATCCCTAATTAAGAGGGAGGATCTGGATTCCGTGACTTGTAAAACTTCAACTTAGCTCTTCTTAGAAAACAAGCTTGGAGATTTACATCACTGAAATATTATCACGACAATAATATTTTGACTGCCACATGTGGGAAGAGTGCATTTGACATTCAATTCTGCAAGAATGAGACCTACTAAAACAGGGGATGAGATTCCTAGTTGGCAACGGTCAACTAATAAACGCATGGGCTGACCCATGGTTAGCAACTCACTCTCCAAGAGCACCAAGACCCAGATACTCAGACACACAACCAATTAAAGTTTGAGACATATTCAATATAGACCATACATGCTGGGATAAAACTACAATACATGAACTAGTTACAATAGAGCATGTTGAACACATATTGGAACTCAAGATTTTCCCAGATTACGCTCTTAATCTATTGGGATGGCATTACAACAAATATGGAATATTCACAGTAAATCAGCGTATTGGCTGGCCTCACATTCACCAACAGCACCAATAATCCAGCCGATACAAGGAGAAGTAGATCAAAAACAGAGAATATGGAAACTACGTACATCACCAAAAATCAAACATTTCCTATGGCGTATGCTATCAGACAATTTAGCAACAAGGGACACGTTAAGGCGACAACATATAAATCCACATTCTATTTATCGGCATTGTTGTGAAGAAGAAACAATCAAACATCTGTTTTTCGATTGTAAGTATGCACATGCGACTTGGTGTGCATCAGGGATTATGAGCAATACTATAATGAATTCAGGTATTCTCCTTGACGATAAAATGAAAGCTATCTTTGATCGTCAGAAGAACACATCAGCTCTATTCTCAAAACAACTAGCGTTTTGGATACTTAAATTATGGAAGAGTAGAAATACACTTTTATGAGCAACAACATATTCCATGGAGTAAGACAGTTCGTTTAGCAAGAGAAGATACAACAGGATCTTGGTTTTAAAAGGCGCGCTCTTTCTGCGCCTAAGGCTTAAGGCGCAAACTCGATGACCTCTCTATTAGTCAATGCGAGGGTGGATCAACAAAGCGTGCGCCTTGATGCATTTTCCAGAAGCGAGAGGCGAGCAAAGCGCACACTTGAAATAGGTAACCGTTAGATTTTGAAAATATGTGTTTTCCACTTCTGCTGATTGATATTTCTAACAAAGAAAATATAATAAATGAAAACTGACAACTTAAATTAAGTTTTCACGAGAAAATATGTGATCACGCCTTTCCTTTTGTCAATAAAACTCTTTGTCTTCTACTTCTCTTCTTCTTAAATCTTTGCTTTATGCTTCTCTTCTTCTCCATTATTTCTTTGCTTTCTGCATATCTTCTTCTCTATTCTTTCACTTTAGTTCTGCTTTCGAAACCAGCACCATGTCTGGAACATCAGAGAAGAAAAAAGATCCGGGCAGAAAGTATGGAGTTCAAGATCCACTTCATGGTAACCACTAGAAGTGCATCTACTGTCATGCTGTGAAAAAGCAGGCATTTATAGTATGAAGCAACACCTTGTTGGCGGTTATAGGAATACCACAGTATGCAAGCTTTGTCCAAAACATGTAAGACATGAAAGAACGATGTTTATGGCTGAAAAAGAAGAAACCAAACAAAATGTTCAGATGATGCAACCAATAGATGTTGAAGAAGATGAATTTGATGGAGAGGACGAGATCTGCAATGAGCCAAGGACAAGTCAAATACTTGTGTCTACTCAACGACAACACAAAGGTCCATTGGATAGGTATGTTGTGAAAGGAAAAAATGAAAAAACAAAGGTGGGATGTGTAGTCAGAGACAATAGAGGACCATAAGACAACACAGAAGTCCATTGGATAGGTATGTCCATGGCCTACTATTTCGCAAAATGAAAATAAAATCCTAGATGCTAAAGAAAAAAACGACAACATAAAGGACCATAAAAAGGATGGGTTAAATGCTATTATGATGGAGCTTTTAAGGATAACACATGGGAGACAAATGCGGGATTGGTAGTAAGAGACAATAAAGGCACTTATAAAGGAGAAGGACAAGCTAGAGGACTGAATACTACATCATCTCTAGAGAGTGAATTCCAATCACTCATCATGGCTATGCAAAATTGCTCGTGTCATGGTTTCAAAAAAATCATCTTTGAAAGAGATTGCAAGGGGATTACAGACTTTATGAATGGCACCAAACGAAATTTTCACGACTATAACTGATATGTTCAAATTAACCCTTAGAGCTACTCTCTCAAATTAAGAGATCACAGTAGTACTTAGGGATCGAATCCACAAGGACTTAGATTGTTGCACACTGGATTCTAGGTTCAAATCAAGCTAAGGAAAACTAAATAAATGTAATGCAAGTAATAAAAATAAAGCAGCAAATCGATTGTGAGGAGATTTTGCAAAGAGAGAAACGCTAGGCCTTGGGAAATTCGCAGGTGAATCCGAATTGCAAATCTAGACAGAATGTTAGGAGTTTATTAAGTATTGTTCTTGAACTTGAAACACTAATATAAAATCAATCAACTTCCGCTGCAGAGATTATCTATGTCTAAATCCTAGAATCCCAAATTCCTTTGCAAATCCTATTAATTCAAACAAGCATTAAAATCAGGTTCAATTGTTCACAAAATCCTAAACTAAATTCCTTTGCAGATAGAAATTTTGCTCATCTAAGATTAGTTCTGGTGATTAACAATGTTTCCACATCTATTAAACAACCTAAAATCAAATTCTAGGTCATGAAGCTAGAATAAGCATTAAACACAAATCTAGATGAAGAACTCTAATGATTTTATCCTAACAATTCAATTCAACCTAGCAATTCATCATCACCTGTGAAAAACCCTAAACCTAACAAGCAAACTACTCAGACATGATCAATGAAACAGAAATCATAATTTGAATAGAAAGCATAAGAGAAATCAATAGAAGAAATAAGGGAGTTCAAAATCCTCTCTAAAAGAGAATGATTTATCTCTCCAGAAACTCTCTAAAAAAATCTCTCTCTTAATCTCTTTGTAAAAATAAAGCTTCGGTCTAAACAATGACCATAAAAATCCTTTTATAGACCCATAACACGATTTGAGGCGAAACTGCAAATATATAAAACTTCTGGGCGAACTTGTAAGTCTTCAGAAATCTTTAAAAACTCGGGCAAGATTTGTGCACTTTTGGTGTCGATCGACACCAAGACCCTAGTGTCGATCTACACGGGATTTGCACGCGCACTGCACAATTTCTGTTCGAGTGTACAATTTTTGCACGACTTGATTTCTTCAGCAACATCTTCTGTTTTGCTCCAGAATGCTCCAATATCTCCAAATAAGCTCCAAACATATCCAAACCTGTAAAGATTCAAAAAGATTCGAAAATAACAAAAAGACTCTATAAACAGGATTTATATCATGGTCAAAAACCCATAAAAACCATGATATATCAATAACATCATACATAAACTTAAATTTTGGAGTAGGAAGTTTGAACATATAAATTCCAGTGGTCAAACAGAGCTAACAATCAGGTCGAAGATAAATTGGCAAAGTAGACTCCGAATGCAGAGCTTTATTTTTGTTATCATTTTTATGTTTCTTATGTAATTTCTGACTTGCTACATACTGATTTTAGCGCAACAAACAATTGATATAATAGACATTACAAAAATAGATATATTAAAATTTTATAATTTTAACAAAATTTAACCAAATATATCAAAATATTTTAAAACTTTAACTTAAAAAAAATATTTTCGATAAATTTCAGACAATTTGAGTACTTGGAACAGATCTGACATGAATTAGACCAAACTCGACCTGAAAATTAAAAATATCCGAATGAGATTTATACACTAAAACTAAAATAACTAAAATTCGAAAAAAACCCAACTTGAACCCGAATGGGTACCGAATGGGTACCGAATGGGTACCGAATGGGTACCGAATGCCCATGCCTTGTTCTTATATTTACCATCTCTTTATTAAAAGTGTTTGAAATCTATTGTTATTCATTCAAAGATTTGAATATAACAATTAAACTCTTGTGTTATTCATGTTTGGGAGATTTTTACAATTGCTTTCACGTGAAAGAGTTTGAATGGAATTGATTCCAATTGAATGTGTAAATTATAGCAATCAAAATCTAACTTTTTCTCCTCAGATTTTTGTTAATTATAAAATCCAACATAACATTATCAACTACTATCCCATATCTCGTCTATTCACTATTTTTCTTATCAAAGGGAAGAAAACCCAAAAAGATATGTTTCATTAAATACTTCTTCTTCACCTGTGTTGCTCTATTAGATACTCACGACTTCTTTTCATTTACGTTTAAGGTCAATTATTTTTTAATAATCATTATCTTCTTTTTCTTCTAATTCCATTCCCCTCCCCTCTTCATTTTCATAATAAGCATTTCTTATATCCTAATAATACTTTTGATTTATGTTGCTATATAACAACCGGTGATCATGTGACATTATTTTTGTTGAGAGGGACATGATTATATACAAAAGGTGTTGAAAGAGAATCTCATTCATTTATCGTATATATTCTGAAGTGTTTGCGGATTTATGCTACCTTATCAGCACACAAACAGAGTTGGTGCACACACATCATTTGTGTGTGGTAGAGATGGTTGCAACTTTTTTGATGACAGTTGGCCAAAATTCAAGATATTGTCACATGATACACATTTATAAGAGATCGAAATTCACATCAAGTACGAATTTTCATAAAGTTCTCAAAGCTTCAAACACGCTTGCACCAAGTTTGATGGCCAAGCCTACTCATTTAGTGGCACGAAAAATTTATCCTCACTTTAAGGTAATATATTATGTTTGAATATTACTTCTTAAAAATGCATAAAAAATCCTGAAAGTGACACGTACTGACACTTTAAACCTCAGAGGTATTATACTAACACTTTAAACATTTAACCAAATTTTATTAACAGAAAAAACTTTCGAAGTGGCTTCTGATTTCGCGACCCCAGAAATTTAGACGGAATAGTAAACTCTGTTAACAAAATACCTTCCGATTTTGCAACCCTTCGAAGTGACTCACTAAAAATTAAGAAACCAAAGCAATTAATTATCTAAAAAGTACATGTATCATGATTAATAGCTATTCCGAGTTTATTATTCTGTTCAAATTTCTGTTTAATCGTGATATATGTACTTTTTCAAATTGATTATAATTTTGGTTTCTTAATTTTCAGTGAGTCATTTCGAAAAGTCGCGAATTGTAAGGTATTTTGTTAACAGAGTTTACTATTCCGTCTAAAATTTTGGGGTCGCATAATCGGAAACCACTTTAAAGATTTTTTCTGTTAATATTATTGGTTGATAGTTTAAAGTGTTAGTAAAATACTTCTGAGGTTTAAAGTGTCTGTCACTTTCAGGATTTTTTATGCGTTTTTCCTTTTAACTTTATATATTATCAATTTTTACATTTATTTTAGGATTGTATGGGAGTTATTGATGGCATTTATATTACTGCAATGGTAAAAAGTCCTGAAAGAGCATGTTACTAACTGTTTGCAAGTTTGATTTTGAGTTCATATTTGTTCTATGTGGATGGGAAGGCTCAACTCGTGATTCAAAAGTTCTACAAGATGCCTTAACAAGAAGAACTAATAGACTATAAGTTCTAAAAGGTAAAAATAATCAACATAATATTTTCTAAATCAAAAGTTATATAATGTGTTTTGATATTTCAGGAAAAATTATTTAGTTGATTGTGGGTTTGCATGGTATCATCTCCAAGAATTTCATGGTGAAGGACGTGATCCAACAAATCAAAAGGAATTATTCAACCTTTGCCATGCATCCTTGAAAAACGTTACCGAAAGGATTTTTGGTATATTTAAATTTTGGTTTTTAATTTTTAAATCTGCACTGCCATTTTCTATTAAAACCCAAGCAGAGATAGTTCTTGCATGTGCGGCTTTACATAACTTTCTTGGTAGAAAAAGTCCACCAGATGAATTTCCTAATGATGAGGAAGAAAATGAAACTAGTAAAGAAACTGCAAATCAAAGTTCAGCAGCAAATCTTTGCTTTATGCTTCTCTTCTTCTCCATTATTTCTTTGCTTTCTGCAGATCTTCTTCTCTATTGTTTCGCTCTAGTTTTGCTTTCAAATCCAGCACCATGTCTGGAACATCAGAGAAGAAAGAAGATCCGGACAGAAAGTATGGAGTTCAAGATCCACTTCATGGTAACCACTGGAAGTGCATCTACTGTCATGCTGTGAAAAAAAGGAATTTATCGTATGAAATAGCACCTTGTTGGTGGTTATAGGAATATTACAGTATACAAGCTTTGTCCAGAACATGTAAGACATGAAACAACGATGTTCATGGCTGAAACAGAAGAAGCAAAACAAAATGTTCAGATGATGCAACCAATAGATGTTGAAGAAGATGAATTTGATGGAGAAGACGAGATCTGCAATGAGCCAAGGACAAGTCAAAGAATTGTGTCTACTCAACGATAACACAGAGGTCCATTGGATATGTATGTTGTGAAAGGAAAAAATGAAAAAAACAAAGGCAGGATGGGTAGTGAGAGACAATAGAGGACCATAAGACAACACAGTGGTCCATTGGATAGGTTTGTTCATGGCCTACTATTTTGCAATATGAAAATAAAATCCTAGATGCTAAGGAAAAAAGGACAACATAAAGGACCATAATAACGATGGGTTAAATGCAATTATGATGGAGCTTTTAAGGATAACACATGGGAGACAAATGCGGGATGGGTAGTCAGAGACAATAGAGGCACCTATATTAGATTCTAAATTAGAATCAATGATGTTATTGATCGTGTAATTTCTTGTAAAATCAAATGACATCATGTTGAGTTGATATCATTATTTTCTATTGATTTCAATTCCATTGTAAAATCAACTTTGTGTAAAATGAAGTGACGTCATAAATGAAAAAAGTAAAAATCTGGTGTGTTTTAAAATCTTATGGAGTTGACTCTCATGAGATGTTAAATAAATAAAATAAATGATAATGACTATTGACTCTTTACCACTTAAATAGATAGATCCTATTGCACTTCCATAAAATAATGGGCTTCCAGATGAATTGGACAGAGTTCGGAATGCGAGATCTACACCAACATTATTAACATATATAATCAATAGTTAATGGTTTATTAACACAGTTACTGTATGATTCAAACAACATATATGATGTAGCATCGTGACCGTTGTTCTCAAATGCCGTTACTTGTTGCACAAGTGATCTTCTTAATGGGATTTTCGTTTATTTTATTTTAAGTTAGGATAAGTGTTTTGAAGATATGACTAAATCGTCGTAGGGATAGGTTTTTATGATACGACTTAATCGTATCGTCTTCTATTTATATAGCTTTCTCTTTGTATTGCAAGCACGTTGATTATTGATTTGGTTTTTAGAATAAAGAGCTTTTAGCGCTGAGAAGAGCATTCTCAAACCTCTATTCTCAAACCTCTGTTTTCTGATTTGCAAAACAGAGTCTATCCCTTCCTTACTGTAGCTTCCGCCCCCTATCAGTTGGTATCAGACTAGTACGTTCCTGCGCGTTTTGTACATCTTACGATGCCTCCTAAGAACAACACCAACCGACCTGCTGGCGAACCGCTTAGCCAATCAGCCGAGTGGGCAGAGTTGCGTGCGACACTCCTGGCTATGCAAAAAAATAATTAAACCACTATACACACTTCTATTCAAGAGATGAGTGAAGCGCTGTGTACATGTTTAGATGCGCGGCAGCCAGCTCGCAACGATGACAACCCGTTTGCCAAACGTCACCATGTTGCAGAAACAGAGGACGAAGAAGACGAGCATCAGAGACATGTGTGCGTCACGATGATCACCGTTGGGAGATGGGTTTTAAGGTGGATATTCTAGAATTCCATAGTGGAGTGAAAGGGGATTCTTTGATTGATTGGATCACCGCCGTCGAGGAGATCTTGGACTTCAAGGGTGTTCCGGATGACAGACGTGTGCCTCTCGTTGCAACGAGGTTTCGTAACCACGCCGCGTCATGGTGGCAACAGCTGAAGGCGACCCGCGCGTGCAACGGCAAGGAAACCATTCGTTCATGGGACAAACTAAAACGGCACCTACGTAAGACCTTCCTTCCGCATAATTATGATCGAACGGCGTTTACGCGCCTGCAAAACCCGAAACAAGGTTCTCGCTCGGTGGACGAATATGCAGAGGAGTTTCAAGAGCATCGTGACAGCGATATCCAGATTGTTTCACGATTCATTGGAGGTCTTTGTCCTCAACTCCAAAATTCACTAGCTCAATTTGATCCTGTCACAGTTTCTGAGGCGCATCGTCGCGCTGCATCGTTTGAACAACAATTTCGTTCCACTAGCTGGTCGTCACAAGCTACGAAGCAACGTGTGACAGAACAAATTCCGGGTTCTGTTGGGCAAGGTTCGCGGGAAGAGGGAGAGAGTTCACGACAACATCCCCCCATCGAGGACCAAGGACTTCGTCGATCTATCCGCCCAAACGCTTTGCGATGTTATTCCTGTGGTGAGCAGGGACACCGACAAACCGCTTGCCCCAAGAATGGTCGCCGAAACCTTATCATCGAAGAAACAGGTGACTTCCAGACACCGGTGTATGATTCGAATGAGGATAGCGACGTGCAAGGGGATTCATCTCTCACCCCCACTCATGGAGACAAGGGCACGTTGATGGTGATGAAACGTTCTTGTCTAGTACCTCCAAGTCGCGGGGATTTATGGTTGCACATAAATATATTTAAGTCCACTTGCACCATCTTGGGAAGGATATGTTCGTTTATAATTGATTCTGGCAGCTCCCGCAACGTTATCGCGCAGGAGGCTGTGTTCAAACTAGGCCTCCCATACAAGCCACATCCAGCTCCATACTTGTTAACTTGGGTACAGGATGGCGTCGCCGTACACGTGACACATCGTTCCCTTGTGCCGCTGTCAATAGGCCCGCATTACAAAGATCGTTTCTATTGCGACATAGCTCCGATGGATATCAGTCACCTCATTCTTGGAAGACCTTGGGAGTTTGATCGTAAGATTGTTCACGATGGAGCAAAGAACACTTATAGTTTCATTTGGGAAACTCACCAGATCCTTCTCTTGTCTTCACGCGAGCAATGGGCAACTCCTCCCCCGACAGCACCTCCTTTACTACCTCTGTCACCATCTCCGCCTACTCCTCCGGTACCACTTCTGTGCTCCTATGACAAATTCACAGAGGAGTTCAAACAGGAAGGGTTGATGTTCATTCTCTTGTCATCCACGGCAACTCCCGTTTCTACTACTCCTTCTCAACGTTTTGCGAAAGTGTTGGCGGAGTTCGCTGATGTCTTTCCGGAAGAGTTACCACAGGGTTTACCTCCCCTCAGGGACATTCAGCATCAGATAGATCTCGCTCCAGGTGCAACACTCCCCAATCGGCCGCATTACCGGATGAGCCCAACCGAGCATGAAGAACTCCGGCAACAAGTGGAAGAGCTTCTCTGTAAAGGCCACATTCGTGAGAGCTTGAGTCCGTGTGCTGTCCCGGCTTTGCTTATCCCGAAGAAAGATGGCTCTTGGCGGATGTGTGTTGATAGCCGCGCTATCAATAAGATCACCGTTCGATATAGATTTCCGATTCCACGACTAGACGACTTATTGGATCAGATAGGATCGGCTTCTATCTTCTCAAAAATTGATCTTAACAGTGGCTATCACCAGATTCGTATTCAACCGGGAGACGAATGGAAAACAGCGTTTAAAACTTGAGAGGATTTGTTTGAATGGTTAGTAATGCCATTTGGTCTCTCCAACGCTCCTAGCACCTTCATGCGGGTTATGAACCAAGCTTTGAAACCATTCAATGGCAAGTTTGTCGTCGTATACTTTGATGACATTCTCATTTTTAGTTCATCAGCAGCTGAGCATGAGAGACATCTTCGTGAAGTGTTATGCGTTTTACGGAAGAAACAATTCTTTGCCGGTAAACAGAAGTGTGAATTCGGATTATCTCAGGTCTTCTTTCTGGGTTATGTTGTCTCGGATAAAGGCTTATCTGTGGATCTCTCTAAGATAGAAGCAGTGAAATCCTGGCCTTCCCCGCACAATGCTACTGAAGTCCGGAGTTTTCACAGTCTCGCATCGTTTTATAGACGTTTCATTCCTCACTTTAGCACCATCATGGCACCCATTACCAGTTGTATGCGTAAAGGAAAGTTCTTCTGGTCCCTCAGAAGCTGAACAAGCATTCATCCTCATCAAGGAGAAGCTCACGACAGCTCCCGTTTTAGTCCTCCCGGATTTCTCACTTACCTTCTAGCTTCATTGTGATGCATCTAAGCTAGGCATAGGAGCCGTTTTGAGCCAACAGAACCGGCCAGTCGTGTACATACGATGTGGAATTTTATACAATTATGCAAGCGATAAGGCATTGACGTCACTATCTTGTCCATCGAGAGTTCGTGTTGTTTACTGATCACGATGTTCTGCGACATCTTGACAGCCAAGCGAAAGTCCCTTCTTGACATGCGTCGTGGATTGCGTTTTTACAGCAGTTCACTTTTTCGATCAGGCATCAGTCTGGTAAATTGAATAAAGCAGCGGATGCTTTAAGCCGGAGACACGCCACACTTACAGCATTGCAGACGTCGATTGCAGGGTTCGATTCATTCGCTGAGCTTTATTCTTCTGACCCGTATTTTGCTCGCATCGTCGAAGAATTGGACACTGGCGCTCATTCTAAATTCACTCGTTAAGATGGGTTTATTTTTTCTTGGTCTGCGCTTGTGTGTACCCACTTGCAGCTGGAGACTCAAGATCATTAGTGAGCTGCACAATGAGGGACATGTTGGTCGAGATAGAACGCTGCAACTTGTCACTTTTTCTTACTTTTGGACCACGTTGCGCAAGGAAGTGGAGAAATTTGTCTCTCGCTGTCGTGTGTGTCAATTAGGCAAAGGATCCGCTTCTAATGCGGGTTTGTATATGCCACTTCCGGTGCCAAATCAGCCTTGGTCTCACGTCAGTATGGACTTCGTCCTCGGGTTACCTCGTACTCAACGTGGCAACGACTCCATCTTCGTTGTCGTGGATCGATTTTCCAAAATGGCTCACTTTATAGCCTGCAAGAAAACCGCAGATGCGTTACATGTTGCGTCTTTGTTTTTCAAAGAGATTTACCGTTTGCATGGTTTACCTACGTCCATTGTGTTGGATCGCGATTCCCGCTTCCTTAGCCACTTTTGGAGGTCCCTTTGGAAGCTGCTACGTACGTCACTTAACATAAGCACAGCGTACCATCCGCAGTCTGATGGACAAACGGAGGTAACCAATCGTTCCTTGGGGAATCTTCTCCGTTGTCTTGTGGGTGACAACATCAAGGGTTGGGATGTTTTGCTTTGTCAGGCAGAATTTGCCCACAATCACGCCACCAATCGCAGCTCGGGGTTTAGTCCTTTTCATGTTGTTTATAGTCTCTTGCC